TGGGTAGTGGAGGTAGTGGAGGTCGGCTGATGAGGTGTTTATCTGTCCTTGGCAGGGTGGGTCTTCTGGATGTGAACCCTGGGTTGCTGGAGATTGGTGGAAGCAGGCAGAGGATGTTTCTGGGTGCCATTGAGTCTTGAGTCCAAGGTCACAAAGTTCCACTTTACCTGGTTCTGTAGGGCTTCATGCGTGAACTCCATCTGGGAGCTCTTTGGCACTATTGTGGCAACATGGGAAGATGCCGTCGTTGATGACATTGACAAAGAATACTATCGACTGCTTCAGCACCTCCATGATTTTGCGAGGAATGCCAAGAGAGAGAAAGCCACAAAAAGACACCTGTCTTCAGAAACTCTCAAGCTCATTCACCAACATGGCTGGTCGCGAGCCTCAGGCTAATGTCTGAGCTTGCAAAGCAGTACAGAGAAGCAATAAAGTAAGATCTTAAAGAGAGAAGAGCAGCAGTGCTGGCCGATGAAGCAGAAGCTGGGAAAAGTATTTGCAACACCTGCCTGTCCTTCGCCAACTACAAGACCAAGATGACTGCCCTCCGACGTCCTGGTGGATCTATCACATCTTCCAGAAGGGCAATGGAGAAGATTATCCATGATTTCTACTCGAATCTCTGATAGCCTCATCCACCTGTCCACATACCAAATTCTGCAGGATGGATATGTCGTTCCCAACGTTCTCCCTTCCAAAATTGGACACACCATTTTGTCGGTAAAGATGTGAAGAGCACCTGGCCCAGACAAGGTCAGACCTGAACACCTGAAGAATCTGCCACCAGTACTCATCAATACACTGGCTTGGCTTTTCACATGCTACCTGTCTTGAATGCAAGAATCCGTCCCAATGGAAAACCAGCAGGACAGTTCTACTGTATAAAAAGGGAGACATCCACGATATTGGCAACTATCGCCCGATCTGCATGTTGTCCGTTGTCCATAAGCTGTTCACTTGAGTCATCCTGAATAGGATTGGCAAAACACTAGATGAAGGACAACTATGCGAGCAAGCCAGGTTCCGAAAAGGATTCAGCATGATCGACCATATCCACACAGTAACCGAGCTCATTGAGGTTTCTCAGGAGTTCAAGATGCTGCTCTTTCTAACGTTCATTGATTTAAAGAAGGCCTTTGATTCTATTGAGACTGAAGTGGTCATCGAAGCCTTAGCCAAACAGGGCGTTCAAACTCAGTACATCAGGATCCTCCATGAGCTGTATTACGGATTCACTACCAGGATCTCACCATTCTACAAGGATGTGTTCATCGACATAAAGAGAGAGCTTTTGCAGGATGATACCATTTCACCGAAACTCTTCAGTGCCACCCTTGAGAACATCATGTGATGACTGGAATGGGAAGGAATGGTTGTGAAGATAGAAAATCGGCAACTACACCACCTTTGCTTTGCTGATGACATCGTTCTAATAACACCAAACATTAACCAAGCTGGCCGACTTCAACTGTGAGTATGGAAAGGTCGGACTACAGCTGAATCTCACCAAGACATTGTTCATGAAAAACAGACTTTTCCTGACGTTCCATTTGCTTTCAACAGAACAAACATCTCTGAGTGCAGCAGTTATGTGTACCCAGGTCGAGAACTCAACATTGATGAATGACCTGGCACCTGAGTTCTGCAGGAGGAAGAGAGCGACTTGGAATGCCTTCAAGAGCGTCGAAGAAATAGCTAAGAGGATGAAGAACCCCTGGCTCCGAGCACATCTCTTCAGTTCCACTGTTCTTCCTGCATTAACGTATGCCTCAGAGACCCGGGCCCGATGAAAACAGAATGAGAGCGCTATTCAGGCCACCCAAAGAGAAATCGAAAGAGCTATGCTTGAAGTATCACGCTTCATTCGAGTGAGAGAAGGAATCCTGAGTTCCAACCTCCATCCACGATCTAGAATCAGGGACACTGTCTCATTTGCCAAGACGTCGAAAATCAGATGGGCTGGACAAGTAATGAGATTTGGAGACGACTGCTGGACTAGAGCAGTTACAGATTGGCGTGGCACCCACCTACGAGATGGTCAAACTTCTTCCTCAAGACCCTGAACGAACATTTTGTGGCTCGGCTCTTCGTGATCCTGGATAGAGCAGAAGCCATTGGGCTACACTAGCATGTGACAGGGTCGAATGGAGATGTTACTGGCGCCCACTTGAGTAAATCGATAAGTAATGGATATCAAGTGATCAAGTGTCTATCTACAGATTTGCAGCTGAACAGCTTGGATTCTAAACTAAACTTCATCATTTACAAAATGATTGGCCTCAGTCAAGTTTACTAAATTCTCAGGCCCTTAGTGGAGATTATGTGTTTTAAATGATTATAATGATAGCACCAACTTTATAGGACTGAGTTAATACATACATTCAAAGCAGTTATATCAGCTGACATAAAGTGCATAAAAAGTTAAAATGAATAATAGTGAATCAATTATTTAATAAAAATGTAAAACATTTGTAATTTTTCACTTAACATATTTTGAAGGTTTTTCTTGAAGTTTAAACATAATATACATGTATATGTAGCACTGTAGCACTGTTCTCCCGTTCATCGATTTGCTCAAGTGGGCACCAGTAACATCTGCATTGTGAGACTTGTTACTGTTTTTAGCATATCGAACATGCCATGGGGAGCTTGCAAGGCACTGCCGTGTGGGGGTGGGATAGGATACTCTTGGTAGCTTGCTGGGCCCTTCAAGAGTGACAGAAGAATCGAACCCTGGTTGGCCGCGTACAAGGCAAATGCCCTACCAGCTGTGCTATCGCTCTAGCCCTGCTATCGTTCCAGCCTACATATATATGTATAAAAGTATATACATGTATATGATTCATAGAATTTTATTGCCAAGAAGCACTGTAATTTCATTTATCCACCCAATGCCATTGGGCATTTGTTTCTTTTTTTTCTTTTTTGCTTTTTGGGTCACATCCAGCGATGCACAGGGGTTACTTCTGGCTCTCTACTCAGGAGTTAATCCTGGCGGTGCTCAGGGGACAATATGGAATGCTGGGAATTGAACCCGGGTCGGCCACGTGCAAGGCAAATGCCCTATTCGCTGTGCTATCTCTCCAGCCCTGTTTCATTTCTAAACTGGCTTTTTTTTTTTTTCACCAGGAATTGAGAGCAGAAAGTCTAATTTGAGATTTCAGGTTTCATAGCATCCTACAGAGGTAATACTGGATTTAAATAGAAGACTGGATTCTAATTTAGAGTTTATCTTTTTTCAGGGACTATGCAAAATGATCGCTTTGGACTAAATAATATGCTGGCTCCTTTCCAGAACTACCTTTTTATAATATTTTGCAGGAATTGAATCCATTTTACATATGAGTCTTAGTATTTCTTGGAGCAATAGCACAGCAGTAGGGTGTTCGCCTTGCACGCAGCAAGCCCCACCGAGCCGGGTTCGATTCCTCCACCCCTCTCGGAGAGCCCGGCAAGCTATCGAGAGTATCTCACCCGCACGGCAAAGCCTGGCAAGCTCCCCATCATGTATTCAGTATGCCAAACACAGTAACAACAAGTTTCAAAAAATGGAGACGTTACTGGGCCTGCTTGAGCAAATCGATATAAATAGTTTAAATGAAAAACAGGGCCTGAGAGAGAGTACAGTGGGCAAGATGCTTGTGAGGAGTAAACCTGAGTACAGCCTGGTGTGGGCCAAAACAAATGAAAAACAAGTAAAACTGAATTTCCTACCCAGATCATACCTTCAAGATTTCAAGGTATTGGCCCATTTGGTTATCAGGCCAACAATCAGATCTGAGGCTGCTGGAGCCCCTTGACTGGGCGCCTCCTCCTATAAGCAGCCTCATTTCTTTTCTTTTTTTTTTCATATTTTTATTAGTGAAACACCATGAGGTACAGTTGTAGACTTACAAATTTTTGTGCTTGGATTTTGATTATACAATGATCCAATACCCATCCCTCCACCAGTGCCCATTTTCCACCACCATGGATCCCAGTATCCCTCCCACCCCCATCCCCTCCATCCCACCCTGCCTCTGTGGCAGGGCATTCCCTTTTGTTCTCTCTCCCCTTTTGGGTGTTGTGGTCTGCAAAAGAAAAATTGAGTGGCATTCATGTTCGGTCCATAGTCTACTTTCAACATGCATCTCCCATCCTGGGAGGATCCTCCCAAAATCCTTTATTTGGTGCTCCCTTCTCTATCTGAGCTGCCCTTTCCCCTAGAATGCCCGGCTGGCCTCTAAGCCATGGAGTAATCCTCCTGGTACTGATCTCGGCTATTCTTGGGTAGTAATCTCCTATTTTGTTACTTTATGTACCCCAGATGAATGCTATCTTTCTATGTCTGTCTCTCTCTTTCTGACTCATTTCGCTTAGCATGATACTTTCCATGTCGTACCACTTGTATGTAAATTTCATGACTTCATCTTTTCTAACAGCTACATAGTACTCCATTGTATAGATGTACCAAAGTTTCTTTAACCAGTCATCTGTTCTTGGGCACTCAGGTTTTTTCCAGATTCTAGCTATTGTAAAGAGTGCTGCAATGAACAAACAAGTGCAGATGTCACTTCGACTATACATTTTTGCCTCTTTGGGATATATTCCCAGGAGTGGAATTGCTGGGTCAAATGGGAGCTCGATTTCTAAGTTTTTGAGAATCGTTCATACTGTTTTCCAAAAGGGCTGAACCAGTTGGCATTCCCACTAACAGTGAAGGAGTGTCCCTTTCTCGCCACATCCGCACCAGCATCAGTTGCTTTTGTTCTTTTGGATGTGGGCCAGTCTATGAGGTGTGAGATGGTATCTCATTGTGGTTTTGATCTGCATCTCCCTGATGATTAATGCAGCCTCGTTTCTGTTCTGTGTGTAGATAGGATTCTATGCCAGCTTGTGGAAAGATTTGGAAACACTGGTCTGTCTGATTATATCAAGACAAACTTTGCTTGTGGCAAATATATTTATAATTTAGATTCTTGTTCTATCATTGGTGACTTGATTCTTTGACATTTTAGCATGGCTGCCCGCTGTTTCTGGGATGCTGACACGGACAACTACATGCATGATGTCTTTATGAATGTAAGTCTCTTTGGAAACCTTTTTTTCCTTCGTGAGGACATGCAGACCTGCCAAATTAAATTATTTAGTACTTACTAAGCTACAAGAGCACTTTTGTTTTAGACATTTTGTCTAACCCTTGTGGGTCATATGATTTTACTGTTCCTTTTCATATTACTGAAACAGGTACCTCTTGTGCTATTTATAGGCAAGAGGACTTATATGTGCACTCCTTCGCAGTTTGATTTGAGTAACATAACATTTCTTTAGACAATTTACCAAACTGTGAAGTAATCTAGATAGCAGAACTCCATGAGTAATGTGAGTATGGGAAGCGCTAAATAATTATTTATCTGTCAGCTTTCTGAGGTAAAGAATCAATACAAGGTGCTGTTTCTTCCCACTTATTGAAGTTAAAAATGCATATTTTCCTGTATGCTTATATAGTTCATTTATTCAGCAAATAATTTTGAGCTTTTGTTATGGGCCAGCCTCTTACTGAAGATACTAGGAATAAAATAACTAAAATAACTAAACTAAAACAGGAATGATTTCTGCAAGCAGAGGGCATAAAAGTCAGAGGAGACCAAATAAAAACATATATACTAAAAAGCTAGCAATACTTAATAAGGATTATAAAGATCAGATTTTAAAATAAGGGTCAGAGGGTAGTTGCTAGAATCATGTTTGAGAATCTGGTTTGGATTATTGGCTAATTGTACCGTATCTGTAGCCTAGCAGAGTGTTAAGTTTCACTTCCAGAGCATAAAGAACTTCATATGGGTCAGGATTTCCAGAAAGCACAGTAAAGGGTGAGGAAATAGGGGAGTTTAAAAAAAAATCAGAGTTGATAACTGCTGTGAACTGAGCTCCAGTTAGGGTTCTGTCCTGCTAAATCTCTGGATTGCAAAAGCTGAATGCCTAAACCTGGCTAGGCCTTGACTATTTTGTTATAGGCCCTAAATAATTACATTGAGTAGCACTGTCCTCCCGTTGTTAATTGATTTGCTCAAGCAAGCACCAGTAACTTCTTCATTGTGAGACTTGTTACTACTGTTTTTGGCATATCGAATACGTCACGGGTAGTTTGCCAGGCTTTGCTGTGTGGGCGGGATATTCTCAGAAGCTTGCTGGGCTCTCCAAGAGGGACGGAGGAATCAAACCCAGGTTGGCCCACGTGCAAGACAAACGCCCTACCTGCTGTGCTATTGCTCCGACCCTTACATTGAATATAAGGTCTTAAATTCCAGTAGATATTTAATTTATAATACTTTATTTAGTTTGTTAAATTTAACAGTAACAAGTATAAGTTTGTTAAATTCAATAATAATGAGTATAAGCTATAATTGTATAGCCCTCATTTTCCCTACCTATAATTTTTACTGTATTTTAAGAAATCAGTTCATAGCAGATTAGAAATTAAGACAGAAATGGTACCTTCACCATAGTACTTTAGTAGAATATAATTCACACAAATCCCATCCAAGGAACAAGGGAACTAAGATAATCAAAAAAATTTATGGTTTGGATTAAATGAACTTATTTTTTTCTATCCATGCCAACCTGAAGATGGTTTGGTGGTTCAGGAGTTACTTGAGTTGATAAGGCCAGTGGAACTCTGATAATTAAGTGTCTAAAAGGTGTTTTTATTAAATTTAACTGGAATATAGGAAGAAATTGGAGATTCTGAACGAAAAGACAAATAAATTTAATAATTTATTCTGTCTGAATAAACATCCAGAGACCATTTGTTCATATCATGACAAGGTGCTTTTTTTAGTTTTGAGAAGGGTTTGGATCATACACTGTGATGCTCAGGTGGGAGAGGAGAGGAGAGGTGGGGGTGGAATTCGTCCTGGCTGTGCTCAGAAGTGAACTCTAGTGGTGCCTGGGGTACCATACCACATATGCTGGAGATTCGTATCATGGCCTGACACATGTAAGGCAAGTGCCTTAACTCCTGTGTTAGCCCTGTGCTGTCCTGTGCTCTCTCTCCACCCAAAGTTATTTTTGTAACCTTTAATACTATAGGTTTTTTTATTGAATAATGCATGTTCTCCAAGAAACTAAAGCAGTTCATATTATCATTTCTGCAACAAATCAGGTAAAATGGAAATACTTATTTTATGAATATGCATTATATAAAGTTTGTAGCTTGCATTTTGAAAAAAAACTTTGTTTGGGGATCACATATAGTGGTGCTCAAGGGCTACTCCTTGTGTGATGCTGAGGGGACCAGAACTCGAACCCCCATGTTGGGGATCAGAATCTGAACTCCCATGTGTGTGCTGTAGCCTTCTGAGCCATCTCCCTGGTTTTACCAGAAAATCTCATTTTTTGCTCATTCAATCCTTTTAGCAAGAACAATTTTGAAGTTACTCTAAAGCAAGCAACCTTACAACTATACTCTGGAACCCCTTTGTTTCTTGGGAAGGAAACAGTCTTTGTGACTGAAAACTGGCAAGGATCTGAGATAATTTCCTTTGCTTCTGCTGCCCCAAGTTCCTCAATAGTACTAATCTGGATGTGGTATTTTTTGTTTCATTTATTCTTTAGGACAGTTTATTCTGTGTTGCAGCAGTATTTGGATGTTTCTACTATTGAATCTTTGAACAGCTGGGAAAAGAAATGACTATGAAGAAATATGAACTTTTTAATGTTATTAATTGTACTGACAAAATAAAAAAGTTAATAGTCGGGCAACTGAGTATTGAGTTTTGGGGCTTTATATTTTAGTATTTTGATTCTCTTATATTATTATTACATTTGAAAGTAGAGAAAATCCACAACTATTTAAACATACTGTAAATATTCTGGTGCGTTTTCTACCAAGGTTTTGAAATTATTATTATTGGTTTTAGGGTCACTTAGGGCCGTATCTGGGTCTGTGCTCAGGATGCCCAACAATTTTGTGGTGCTGGGGTCACAGATGCAACTGCAGTTACAAGCAAGGCCTACCACTGCTTTTTACTTGAAGAGTTTTGTGCATTTACTTTTTATTTCTCATAATGTCAAGTGTTTAAAATAGTTTATTTCCATAAGCATAGTTGCATTTATTCCGTCAAGCTATATTAGATAGCTCAATGGCTCCTGCGCATGTTCTGTGTGCAGGAGGCTCAAATTCCAACACTGGCACGCTGAGCATTACCAGGACTGACCTCCTGTCCCAGCACTGAGTAGGGAAATAGCCTGAGTCCTGCTGGGTGTGGAGCCCAAACTAAACCATGCACTCACCCCCCCCCCCAAATTAGGTCATAGCGGTGGTTATTACACTTAGTACAGCGGGTAGGGCACTTGCCTTGTATGCAGTAGACCCGGGTTAGATCCCTGACATCCCATAAGGTCCCCCAAGCCACCAGGAGCAATTCTTGAATGCAAAGCCAGAAGTAACCCCTGAGCACCCCTGCGTGTGCCTCCCCCCCCCCGCCCCCCAAAAAAGGAACAATCTAAAACTGGATCTTGAATACAGGTGTAGAATACCTCTGAAGGGTCTAAAAATTTCATAGCCATATTCTCCATGTTCTCGTTGAGGAGGTGATCGTTCCTAATTTTACACTATTACAACACTGAGGCAACTTTGTCTATAAAGTTTCCACCCTACATTTTCATTGGCTGTCCTCCTCTCTCCCGAAATGTCTTTGCTCAACTGCGTCTTAAACAAGTTCACGGCTTGAGCACACGTGCCTCTTCTCCAGGTTTGGCCCGAGCGTCGCGGGTGAGCCAGCGGGTTCTCTTACGCCTCTCCCAGACTCCGCGGTCTTAGGCTGGTCCCTGTCCAAAGGCATCTTCCTGGCCGCGGGCCCCGAGTCCCTGCGCGCTCTCCGCGGGCGGGCGGCGCTCCCCATCTGCAGCGCAGCGCGACGGGCGGCTCCGCGGACGTCTCAACCTCCACGGGAGTCGCGCCAGGTTCGCCCTTCTCCCCGAGGCGCCCGGGCAGCGGCATCCGTTCCCTAACCGCCCTCTCGCCTCCTCTTCCAGCCCCGCGTGCGGCCAAAGGCGGCGGGCGCGGAAGGCAAGCCCTTCTCCAGACTCCTTCGAGAGCCCGAGCAAGAGCCCCCGGGGGCCCGCCGGCGGTGGCCTACCTGGATCCGCCCGCTCCGCGCCCGGCCGGTTCCGAGGGACCCCTGTCCGGCGACCGCCCGGGCCTGAGAGAAAAGGCGGGGGTGGGGGGGGGGCGCGCGGCAGGCCGGCCAGAGGCCCGGGGCTCTCCGGAGGCAGGCGGCCCCGTTCGCGCGCGCGCCGCCGCCCTCCCTCCCTCCCGGCGCCGGCCTCGCCGTTTCGGCTCGGTCCCCCGAGCCTCGGGCCCGCCGCCGAGGCGGAGCGACGGGGTCAGAGGTCAGGGTGTTCCCGAGGAGCCGGGGGATTGACAGCGGGGCGGGCGGGCGGGAGGCGGGACTTCCGGCCCGCGGTTCCGTCAGCTGCCTGTCCCGGGCGTCTCCCGCAAGTTCCTCAACTTCCCTCGCCCGTGACGCGGCGCCGGGCAGAAATCCGCGGCGCGGGTCCCGAGCCAGGTGAGGACCTGCCGGTGGGCCGCCGAGAAGGCGTCGGCCGAGGGCGGGCGGGCGGGCCGGGGCGGACGCGGCGGGGCAGCGTGCGAAGGAAGCGGGCTCGGTGACAGCGCGGTGGGGAGGCGCGGGCTGCGAGGCCACTGTGACCCAGGGCTGTGACAGACGGAGGGACTGTGACCCAAGGGCAGGGACCCGGCGGGCCCCGCAAGCGGCCCGGGGCGCGAGCGGAGCTGCGAGCGGACTCGGGCCGAGGAAGCGCGAGGCAGGGACCGCGGGGCCGGGGGCCGGGGACCTGGAGCGGAGCCGGAGCGATGCGGTGACCGTGCGGGGCCGACCTCGGAGCAGGCGCTGCGGCTGCTGGGTCCTGCGCGGAGCGATGCCTCGAGGGAGTGTGGGGTCCGCGACTGGCATGGTACTGAGCGGGCGCCGGTTCCCGAGTGGCGGGCGAGCGGGCGGGCACGGAGGGGCCCTGCTGGGAGGACGCCGGGCCGAGGCTGCCCGGACGGACCCGGCGGCGGCGCACCCGCTCCTTCTCCCCTGAGCTCAGTGACTTACTTCGGCAGAGAGCTGGAAGTTGCTCTGGACGGGTGCCGCCCCAACTTTGGGCACTGTCACGTTGCCGGGCTGTGAAATCCATTTTGTGCAGAGCACCAGACGAGATGCTTATGTATTTAGGTCTGTAGGTGTAGATTTTTTTGGTGGATTTTAACGCAAGAGAAAAAAAATTGTTTTATAAGGGTTAGTATTGCTTCATTTTAAATGGTTTTCATTATGTTGTACATGGGATTGTGATGTAAATAGATTTTATATATACTTAAATGCTTGAAGGAACCTGTAGTTTAAAAAAAAAACCCTAAGTTTGAGAAACATTGGAGCAGATTATTTAATTGAGTTCCCTTTCAGGGGATTGATCCTTCCAGCTGCAATGGGGAAAGACTGTCAATAGCCGGGACACAGACTTTGTGGGATTAATATAACCCAAGTGGAAGGCAATTGATGAGTGATGAGGGCGCAGAGAAATTCGAGATCTCAACTGGGAGACCCAGAATTTATATTAAAATAGGAACAGTGCTATTTACAGAAACAAGACATAGGCATTTAGATAGGAAAGAAGAATGCTAAGTAAAAGCTTTTAAGGTGGCAGGCTTTGGAAGACCAATGTCAGCATTTGGCCAAAAATAAAATGGGTATAGGAGGACCCAAACTTTATGGTTCTTTTCAATCTTGATATTTAGTGATTCTGCAAATATGGAGAATTGTTAATAAAATGGAATTGGTCGACCAGAGAGATTGTACAGCGGACAGGACGCTTGCTTTGTATGTGACTTGATCCCTGGTACTACATATATATGGTTCTCTGAGCACTGCTACAATCAATTCCTGAGTGCAAAGCTAGGGGTAAGCACTGAACTTACCCCTAGCTGAGTGTCTCCCAACATTCACCCCAAATTAAAAAAATGCACTGTCTGTAGCACTGTCCTCTCCTCATTCATCAGTTTGCTCGAGCAGGCACCAGTAACGTCTCCATTGTGAGACTTGTTGTTACTGTTTTTGGCATATCAAATACGCCACAGGGAGCTTCTCAGGCTCTGCCGTTCGGGTGGGATACTCTCGGTAGCTTGCCTGGCTCTCCAAGAGGGGCAGAGGAGTCGAACCCGGGTCGGTCATGTGCAAGGCAAATACCCTACCCACTGTGCTATAAAGCAATAAAAAGTCAGTGTTAATGTCAAATAATGGCAGCAAGTAGAAGAAAGAATCACACTGGGCAGGTTGACAGTGGTGACAAAAATGTCACAAGGGATAGATGTTTGGTGTGTTGGAGGCCAATACTGGCATACCCCAGGAATAATGCCTTGCTGGGGGTAATTGAGTGGACATGTTCCTTTCTGGCATTTTTTTCACTGATGTCTTTTTTTGAAAATTTTTAAGTGACGGAGTTTTAACTACCTCCTCCACTCTCCGTTCTTTGTAGAAGGTGGTACTTTTGGCTGTCCATTTAAAAATGCTCTAGTAGAAGTTTGAGGTCATTTACAAGTTGTTAGACACTTTATCTATTACCCTTACCTCTTCATACGCACATGTATATTTTGTGATAAGAATTTTAAGATTCTTGAATGCAAGTGAATTGGGATTGGTGAGGTGATTGGCTTTAATAAAAAAAAATGATTAGTTGCAACCTCCCATAACAACACAGAGTAGATGCTTACATGGTTACATTCTACATATGAAGATACTCAATAATTTCTAGAACAGAATATATGCTTCAAGGTAACTGCTCTAGAAGAGATGACAATTAGGTTTAGGAACTGCCACACTGCCTCTAAGGTTTTTTGTTTTTGCTGAATACAATGGAGAATCATTGATCTACCCTGCTTTGCCAGTATAATGGCCTGATTGATAAAGAATGAACATTAATCTTTTCTTCCCTTTAATCTTTCTTATAATTCTCCTCCTATGAAGTGGTGAAGTTTTATTTTTCTTGGGGACCCTCTTTTGTCTGTGTGGTACTTTGAGAAGAATGATCTTGTCAGAATCTTGGTAACATTATCAACACTCATAACTAGGAGAATAATTATTGCTTTCTAATTTTACATTTTCTAACTACAGCAGAAGTATTTGTTATTCTGGCTAAATATTTAATAATAATATTATCAATAATACAAAACATATGCATAGTCACCAAATTTTCTATACAGTCAATATTTATAAACAACCTGATCCTATTTGTGAGTCCCCTATGGAACATGATTTTCCTAGGTAGCCAAATAAGAAACATGTTAAAAATACTATGAGAATTTATGAAATATTCATAGATGAAGCACCACAGAGTTTTCTGTTGTTATTAATGGATAATAAACAAATGCCTAGTAATAACAATAATTTCCTTCCTCATGCTTTTCTTTACAAGTATTTATTATTCTTTTGGGGTGGTGTGCTTTTTGGGTCATACCTGGCGATGCACAGGGGTTACTCGCTGAATACAATGGAGAATCATTGATCTACCCTGCTTTGCCAGTATAATGGCCTGATTGATAAAGAATGAACATTAATCTTTTCTTCCCTTTAATCTTTCTTATAATTCTCCTCCTATGAAGTGGTGAAGTTTTATTTTTCTTGGGGACCCTCTTTTGTCTGTGTGGTACTTTGAGAAGAATGATCTTGTCAGAATCTTGGTAACATTATCAACACTCATAACTAGGAGAATAATTATTGGGACTCTGCACTCAGGAATTTCTCCTGGTGGTGCTCAGGGGACCATATATGGGATGCTGGGAACAGAACCCTGGTTGGCCACGTGCAAGGCAAATGCCCCACCTGCTGTTCTCTCTCTGGTCCTATTTGCATTATTCTAATCTAAAGCCAGATCTTCTGACTTGTCTGCTATTGGAGATAGTTCCCCCTTTTGAATCAAATAAAATTAGGTCTTTCTTACACCAGAGGCTGTGCTACCCTCAAATAGAAGGGGAAAAATACTTCTCTCCCCCACCTCCAGCAAAAGTCATGATTTTGTGGGGGGGGGGGGGGATTTTTTTCAATCACAAATACTCTAACGTTGGCATACTTTGTAATCTTGTCTGGATTATGGGAGTTCCTTTTTGCTCAGAATTGTGGCAGCTTCTGTATCTTTTACATTATCACTGAATCAGGCACTTAAAATAATCTGATTTAGGAAGAAGAGCTTAAGGTCATCAAGGCTATAGACTCCTACTTATTGCTCTGTGGGTGCTTTCTAGCACCTCCTTTTTACTAAATTTGGTTGTTTTGTTTAGAGTCCTGAACCAGCTTTACAGTATTCTTATCACATAGGGAGTTCTTGAAGTATAGATATGTTTTAATTGCTTTATGAGTAATTTTTGGCAATTTGAATCCTAACTTCCTTCCACAATTCAGTCAGTAAATTCAGAAATATACATTTTAGATACTCCATTTTGCATAGTATTCGAGAGCTCTACCCAGAAGAGAAAAAAAGAAACACTCTCTGATAAGTACGTGGGTCTGCATGACATTTGTTTAGTTGCATTGATTTATTAAATAATCAAATTACTGTGTTTCACTGTTTGCAAATCAGGTTAGTAAAAACATAATAGCATTTTTGTTTGTTTTTGGATTTTTTTCTCTTTCTTTCAGTGACTTTCAATTTGAGGGTTGAAAGGTGTATTAATTTGAAGCTTTCAATGTTTGGACTAGAATTACTGCCATTAAGTAAGAGAAATCCATGGACCTACTGGACTATTGCATCACCTCCAGAACTATTTGCTAACCAGTTTTGAAGGGAGAGCTGCTAAAACTAGTGGCATGGTCTTATCCATGTTGTCCTAGAGAACAAAATGAGTCTATGGCACTTGCAATAAAAGTAGCCGCTTTTTAAATTTAAGAATTACCTTAGATGTGATTGTATTTTACTTTGGCTATAGAGCAGAAGTTTTTATTTTGTGCAGTGAACCCTTTTAACAGTATGATAAAAGTTATGCACTTGTTTTCTAGACTAAAGTTTTTATGTGCAATAACATAATTATATGCAGTAACAATACATAAAATTTTAAGGAAAACAAATTTCAGTGGAAAATAGTTATCCATTTTTAATAAATATAGGCTATAGCACATGATAAGTAATGGGTATTATATCAGATCTTATAACTAAGTATTTTAAAAATCACTTTATTATTGTTATGGTGTATAATCATAATGAAGGAAATGAGTTTTCCAGAGGTTAATAAAAATAAACTTTTAAAAAATAAAATTCAAAACTCCCTGAATCTTTCACTAGAACCTGTGTTAAAAGTTTAAGTTCCCTAGCCTGTTCTAGGAAGAATGCTGGTTTTTTGTTTTGATTTGTTTTGGGGTCACACACAGAGTGTTCAGGGCTTATTCCTAGCTTTGTACTCATGTTCCTTAGGGAACCATATGTAGTCCTGAGGATCAAACCAGAGTTTGCCATGTGCAAGACATGGCATACCTTAACCCTTGTATTATCTCTCTAGCCCTAGGAAGAAATCTGAACA